ACAGCCGCGGGCTCCCTGCCTGTATGTGCACACTGGCCGCCACCTTCACGGTCCCCAGCTACAGACCCCACGCTCCAGTGGGCTCCCTCCCGGGCGCTTATGTCCCTAGTACCTCTTGGGGAGCTGAGGGTGGCGGTCCTGGGGTGCTGTCTTTCTGCTGCAGCCCGTCCCTGTGTGACCTGGCCACAGTGGGAGCCTCCTGCCTTCCCGTGGCCACTGTGCAGGGGCTGGGCCAGCACCTCGGAGGGTCCTCTCTGAAATGCACTGAATCAGGCCATGCAGGGACCCCAGAGCCTGCACAGCCTCGGTGGCAAATGTCTCACCCACGGCCCCAAGACCGGCGACAGGACCGTGAGGGCCCAGGACAAGGGCCTGCCCATGCCCAGCAAGTAATTTATGCCTTCACCTTGTTTTGAGGTAGAAATGAAAAGGGACACATCAGAGGCATCTGTTCCTGTGCAAAGGACAGCCTTTACTGTCGTAAATAAATATTTTTAAGGAATTTTAAAACTACCGTGTTTGAAAACCACCAAGGCACTGACATCCATTGTGTGGGCACAGCATGTCTCAGGGGCCATACTTGGCCTTGAAGGGGAGGAGGTGGGTGAAGATTCCCTGTCCGTGCTGGCAGTGGCTGCCCGGCCTCTGTGGTCTGCCTCCAGTGGCTGCCCAGGATCCCCAGCCGCCCAGGCCAGGGTGAATGTCCTGGGCCAGTGATTTGGCATCCACCCTGAGTCCCTGCTCCTCCCCTCAGGCCCCCTGAGCCTCCCGACTATCTCTGTTGACCCTCATACCCTGACTTTGAGTTTGTCCCTAATGCACAGGCTGCTCTGAAGCCAAGGGGTCTCATTCTACTCTTGTGCCAGTCATTTTCTGGCATCCCAATAAGCAGAACCTTAGAAAGGATCTGATTTCCACACAGACAAGGACACTCAGAACCAAAGAGCCCTGGGCCCTCCACAGAATCAAGGCTAGAACCAAGGCTAGGTGTGGTGGCTCACACCTGTAATCCCAGCACTTTGGGAGGTCAAGGTGTGGGAGGATCAGGAGTTCAAGATCAGCCTGGGCAACACAGCAAGACCTCATTTCTAAAAATCAAAAAATTAACCAGGCATGGCATGTGCCTGTAGTCTTAGCTACTCAGGAGCCTGAGGCAGGAGAATCTCCTGAGCCCATGAGGTGGAGGCTGCAGTGAACTATGATCGTGACACTGCACTCTAGCCTGGGTGACAGAGTGAGACTCTGACATACACACACACACAGGACCACTGTGTCCCAGGCCAGCCTGGCCTAAGAGGCCTCCCGAGAACCAAAAGGTGGAAATGCCAAACCCACCCTTGGCAGGTCAAACCTGTTTTCCTCACCACCTGTGAGCAGAGCTGCTGACTTGGAGAGTCCACAAGCCCTCCAGGTGCGGCGCTGACCCAGCATCAAGTCTCTGGCCAGCTCCACTAGGCTGATGATGCTGCTGTACAGAACCTGCCCCGTACAGGCTGGCCTTCCGTTCCTAAAAGCTGCCACGCGTAGCCACACGGCAGGCCACACCGCATGTCCTGAGGGTCAGATGTGGGCCACCATGATGGAGTCCGAGTAGCAGCCTCTGGACCCTAAGAGCTGGCAGGCAGCCTTTACTCAGGATCCTCCAGCCCCACTCCCCAGGCCCACCCAAGACCCTGAAACGGCCAGAAGGTGGGAAACCGAAAGGCTGTATCCCCTGGGCTCTCGGTGCCCAGGCTGTGTAGTCCTCTTCTCTCTTTCCCTGACTAGCTTCCCCTGAGTTTATTTGCCCTGAAGTGTAGCTGTCCAGGCCAGCCCCACACATGCTGGGCAGCCAGAGAGGATGCATCTCGGGGAGACACCGTGTTCCATTGGAACCCCTGGAGTCTCACAGAAGGGCAAGGCACCTGCCTCGGATACAGATCTCGCCAACTGGGAGGCCACATCTGTCAGTTTCGAGCCTCCCCAGGTGACACTGATGTATGAGTCAAGCTGACCAGGCGGGTGGGCATGGGGCTGGAGGCTGCTGTGGTGAGGGGTCAGCACCCAGGCAGCCTGTGAAAGCCAGGACTTGCTGACCCACCCATTGCCTGAGCAGACTTGCCTCTGCTGGAGGCTGCCAGTCTGAAGACCTTGTTTGAAGTCCCTCTCCAGGAAGAATTCGCTGCAGGAGGTTCTGCCACCAGACAGGTCCTCAGAGCCTGCGGGGTCTGGAAGTAGCCGGGCGCATGTGCTGCTGCCTGGGAGGGAGTCTTAGAAGACAATTCCAGCATTCAGGGCCACTGGCCCCAAGTGCAGCCTCAGATGACATCAAGTTGTGCTGTGGTTATGAACAACACTCCTGCCTGACAGTCAAGAACAATGACTCACATCAGAGCTAAGGGGTAGACTGTGTAGCAGGTGTCATCACGACTTAAAAGTGGTTCTGTGTTGTACAAGCATTACAGCCACCCTAGATCTCTCTGGACGAGCCGCCTGCTTTCTGGTGGCCATGTGATGTTAAGTCTGTGCAAGTTTGGGGGACTGGAGAACATTCCTGGGCCAGGCCTGTCTCTCAAGACAGAACTGCCACCAGGAGGCAGCTTTAGAATCCAGACCTGCTGGGTTTCTACATCCTAGGCTCCAGAGACAGCAGGAGATGGAGCTCTGCATGGTGTGGTTGCCCTGGATCCAGGGCACCCTAGGACATGCTGGGCCAGCAGAGCCCGAGCCCACCCACCATGCAGGGCAGCCCGGGAGGCCCAAGGCCTCTGCACAGGTTCTATGAGGAAGGGGACTCACTAGGGAGTTCCTCAGTCCTACCTGTGGGCACTGCTTCTCTCTGGCATGCGACAATGGGCGCACACTTGGGCCAATTGATCACACCACACAGAGGCCTCATGAGGACCAAGCTTCTCCAGCTGGGGTCCCAGGACTGCCTGGTCAGAAGCATAGGCCCCCAGCCCCACTTCAGACCTCCCAGATCCATTTCCCAGGAGGCAGCCCCAGCACAGAACACTTCTTAGAGCTGCGAGCTTGAGCCATTGATGCCAAGAGCTAAGAGTGTCCTCACTCTTCGCTTCCTCTGGCACACCACCTCAGCCTGGCCTTCGGGGGCCCACTGGGGCAGTGTGATCAGCTCAGCCCACCCTGAAGCCAGGCTTTCCTTTAGGGAAGGAAGCGATTTCTGACATGTATCCAGGTAGAAGGGCACAGTGCCAGCAGGGACACCACACAGAGGTGGGGCACCGGGAAGTGCATCTGTGGGGGGGGGGAAACCTCACCATCGGAGGGCGAGACAGTCCACTGCCCCCAGTCCTTAAGAGCTGCCAGCATCACCCCCCACAGACAGTGTGTGGCCCAACCCCAAGCCACACAGACTGCCCAAGACACAGCAGACTCGACCGTGCCCTCTTCCTGCGTGGCGCCTCACGAGAGGTGGCCAGGTCTCTCTACCGCCACCTGAGCAAGAAGTGCCTGAGCAAGAGACAGTCTGATGCTGTGCACCCGGACTCTCACCTTTTTCAGTAAGATATAGCCAACCTGTGCCCCACAGATTCACCCATTCAAGGTAGAGCAGGAGCAGAAAAGTATCTTTTAAAAAGGAGGAGGCACCATTCCTTGACAGACTCACCCTTTCTCATCAGCCTTCAGTGTTCTCATCTCCCTGGCCATGCATCAAAAATGATGTGCAGGCGGGCATGGTGGCTCACACCTGTCATCTCAGTACTTTGGGAGGCCAAGGCAGGACAATTGCTAGAGCCCAGGAGTTCAAGAGCAGCCTGGGCAACATAGCAAGACTTCGTCTCTACAAAAAGTTTAAAAAATTAGCCAGGCATGATGGTGTATATCTGTGGCCCCAGCTACTCAGGAAGCTGAAGAGGGAGGTTCACTTAAGCCCAGGAGGTCGAGGCTGTGGTGAGCTGTGATCATGTCACTGCATTCCAGCCTGGGCAACAGAGCAAGACCTCGACTCAAAAACAAACAAAAAAAGATAGGCAGCAACTCAGTGAGGTTCCCTGAAATGTTCTCAGAAAGTGGCCCAAGCAAGAGTCAAAAAGCATCTTAAGTTTTTATTTGGGAAATTAGAGGAAAAATAGAAAATCAAATTTTCAACAGATGCATCTATGTGGACAAGCCTATCAAGGTCAGGGATCTTTTTTCTTTTTATTTTTTGTAGTGACAAGGTCTTGCTGTGCTGCCTGGGCTGGTCTCAAACTTCTAACCTCAAGCAGTCTTCCTCCTCAGTCTCCCAAAGTGCTGGGATTGCAGACATGAACCATGGCACCTGGTATCTTTCTTACTATCAGATGTACATCTGTAGGACAGTGGGGCATACAATCGGTGCTCAATCATTGCTCATTTCTCACTGGATGAGGCAAAAGCAAAACCCAAGACTCCCGCTCTGGTTGACTGAGCACAGCAAATGTAATAAGCCAGGGTAAGCTTGAAGGCGCAGTTTTGTCTACACCCACCAACAAGCCAAGACTTTGTGACCTTCTAAACCTGCATCTCACACT